AAAATATATTAGAAAAACCACAATGCTTTTTGTCCGTACTACTTAATTAATGCTACTCATTGGTATCCTCAGAATTATTTGCTTTTAGATTCCTTCTTAAAATAGCATCTATAAATTATCCAAATTAGATTAAATCGATTTAGAATATATAATGCTTTAGGAAAATTCTAGCTGCTTAGAAAAGTAATTTACAAACTCCGTGGAGATCATCAAGAGGACACCTTTTTTCATTAATTTCGTTTTTTACTTCCGGAACTTATTTTAACCATTAATCACTTTGAAACTCATTTCTAACATTAATAATCTTTATTACAATTCTCCAAATGCTTTCATTAATTTTTTTGAAATCTATCCTATTTAATCATAACACGGATAAAATTCCCTTTATAAAATTAGATTATAGATAATAATAAATAGAGTTATACTGTATATAATGAGAGGATCGCATCGAAACCTACTTCATCGTAATGAATATACTCGAATTATTGAATATGCGTTTCTGACGTGCTTCAATAACAATGAACTAGAGCCATCACGTTATTTCTAATGCTTCGATANGATGTTTGAATTTTTTTTTTATTCTAGGAAGAAAGGGGATAAATTAAAGAGGGAAATAGAATGTATTTTTCTATGTTTATTCAAATAATGGGATTATTGATTTTGAAACGAAAGTTGAAATGGAAAACATATGCTTTCGGTTGTTTTATTCGAAACATTATAATAAGTTTTTAATGGCTTAACGATGGTCTTTCTCACCATTCCTATTAACCAAATTCTTCCAATACGACAGAATCGGGTCCAATTCTGTTTCCTGTTCGGTTCTAATTGACTTTCCTTGTCAAGATGACTTATTACAGCTGCAACTAACGAAGGACGAAACGAAAAAAAAATCACTTTAAAGGTAAATTGGTAGTATCTTCTTAAAAGTATGACAATAAAAAAAATTCAGTTTCTGTCTCCGTTCTAAATTTTTTTAACTACAAAATTGTATTATCGTGTATTGTTGTCTTGAATGACACGCTTAATTTCATTTGTTTTCATGTTTCAGTAGATTCGAATGAAAATCCTCGATACTCTTTCAAATTTCGAATTTTATAAATAGTTTTAGCATCTTTTGTCATGTGTTTAAATCTTTATTAAGCGTTAATAATTCTATAAGTAGGAATATATTTAATTAATTAATATTTGGTGACATTAAATTCTTTTCTTTTCATTTAAACGTAAGACATATTTTTTTGTATTGAAAAAAAATATGTATTTTATAAAATGCTTAATTTTATACATAATTAATTGGAAAATTAATTAGCGTAAATTCCTCTTACATCGTTTGTAATATTAAATTGCGTGAAGAAATGAATTTTATTTATTGTTCTTATAGCGAGAATAGCAACAAAAATTGTAGCAAGAATATAAATTTAGCAAAATATCTGATGAATGATTTCTTCAGTCTTAAACTTTATATCTAGAAGAATTTTGTGTTCAAAACAATACACATTTTCATGTAACAATTCAAAACATGAAATTTTTATGTTCTGCAATATTAATAAATATATATTCATAATAAATCAACCGAGACAATATATCAATATATTTGTATTATCTTGGATGATTTAATATTTCTTTTCTTAAAAAAAAATATGTTAGATTATTACGCTTTTATTTTTCATAAAATATCTTAAAATAGCATGCTATTTTTAAAAAAAAAATAATGAAAATTATTGTAAATATTTGCAATAATTAGCAGAAATTATTTTTAAAGTTTTTCAAATAATTATCTTTATGTTTTGATAAATTTTGCAATAATTAAAGTATTCTTTACAAAAAAATGATGATTTTTTTATCATTTAAATTACTCTATTCTAAAACGCACGAAATTCATAAAATATTTATAAATTTAAGTTTCTAAATTTCTTATAAACTTAAATTTTTAAATGCTCATATTTAAAAATTCGAAAAAAAAGTTTCGACAGAACAGTGTTTATTAATTTTCATTTTTAGTTTTTTTATTTATTAATTTTTTTATATTTGACCTTATTTCTTATTTTAAAAGTATTCAGTTAATTAATTTGCTAAGCGATTAATAGTATTTTTATCAAATTAACATTTAATAAGGCAAAATACACTCGAGGGTCTTATAATAATTAATTAATTGAATGAACCAGTCCAATATGACGCATCTAATTATTTTATAACTAAATCGTTATTATCTCTACATTTTTAAGCGATAAAATTAGTAAAATATAGTAACCTATCGAACGTATATAGTAGATTATAAAATAATCTAAAGATTTTTATAATTTAAAATGTCCTTAAATTAAATGAACTATGTTTTCATTTTAACGTCGTGTTTAGGAATTAAATTTGTATTTTCTAATGTCTCATAATTGTTAAATCTATCTAATGACTGTATCATTAAGGACATGCTATATTGTTACAAATTATTACTTAAAGATAGCGAAGTATAAACTTCATTAAGCAGGGTTAATTATTCAATATATAAACCATACACCAATGGAAAGAAATACTTTAAACATTTTATTCTTAATTATTTTCAATATTTTTTTGTGTGGAAAAAATATTTAATGCAGTTATTTAACCCACTACTTTAATAATTATTAACGTCATTGTAAAATGCCAGTTTTGTTCTCTGTTCTTCCTGTTAACATGTTTTTGTCTACCATTAACGATGATTTATTTCTTTAAGGATTGATATTATACAAGGTAGTAAGCTTTTATACTTTTCTCCTTTTTAAATCTAATTAATGGGATATTTTCTTCCAAAAAAAAATGTATGTATATATATGCACATATTCATAATTTTTACTAATTTAAATTTTAAAAAATTAGTTAGAAAAACAATTATGTCCGTATTTTAAATTAATTTATTTCGATTCTGATGAGGTTTTAAAATAAAATTTATTTCAACTTAAAAGAAATGTAATTGAAATTGAATTTTTAAAATAATTTTTTACTAATATTTGCACGGTTTTTTTTCTGTAAAGAATGGTTTGATATTTATGAAGTAATCGATTTAAAACTACTTATTTTATCAGATAAATCTAATTTAAATATTGATATTTTTTACATCCAGAAAAACTTCTAAGAAATAACCGTTTGTTGATTTAATTTTTAATTCAAATTTTCTCTTAAAAAAGATAAAGAAGACAAATTTAAATTTTAATAGAATATGCGTTATTTGCTTGTATGACTTTTAATAAATTTAGGATTAAAAATATATTATTACTTTATCTTGAAGAAAACAGATTTTATAGTAAAATAGAAAGTGAATAGTGGAGGCAAAAAATAACCGAAAAAAAAGAGGATAGCGGAAAAATATAAAATTTTGATATCCTGAGTGACATTGGAAAGTAAGAAGCGTGTTTGTATTAAATAGTGAGACTCAGTTGGACATTTGTCGACTGGTGAGTGCCGGTTAAGTCGTCTTGCGATGTCCACATTGAAATATGGAAAGTACTGAAGGATTTCAAATGCTTTGAGACGAGTGATATAAGGCGGAACAAGTAGAAAGTGGGGTCAATTTTTTACAACTTGAGAGGTGACAACTCTTAAAATCCCCAAAGACGCAATTCTTTTGCTTTCGATGACAGCTTGTCGATCTGGTATTTTTATACCATATTGCATTAATATGAAATATAAAGCTTCTGGAAATGCTATACCATGAACAATTCGTCTCTTCAATTTTTATGAATCGACGCCCGAACGAGACCTCACATATATTTTCAATTCTCAACTCTAACGTTAAATGGAGATGTATGTACACGCCCAATCGCTTAGATTATCTTATATTTTATAAATCAAAGTTTGTTAAATAGTATTATATAAATAAAATGTAAACGTAATTTATTGAAGAAAAATATACCTTTAAATTTTTAACTATAAATCCATAAATCTTATTGAATAGCGTGGAACATTTACCGCCATATTCTTTTTGGTTATATACTCATTAAAATCCCCAGTAGAGTAAGAATCTGAGGGATGAAAAAAAAAAAAATTCTAATTATCTGGCCCTCTACCAGGTGTCACGTCCATCGATTTCGCGCTCCGTCGAGCAAAGTACTATTCGCTACCACCCTTCAGTCTCTGCCACTTCAGTAATTATTCCTTTTTGAAAATTCAGCAAGAGTCAGTAGATAGTCGTTTCTGTCTACGTATCCGAAAACTTTATGAGAAACTTTCGAACAGAAAATTAACCAGCGATGTCCTGGTTAAATTTGATGGTCCGATTTAATCTTGGAAACAATCTTGTTTTGCGATTATACATAATTGAGAACATTTGTTATTGCGAAAGAGGAGAACTCGAATCGCATTTTGGATCATCTCTTCACTCTTGCGTTTCTTTCTTAAATTCTATTTTAGTTTTACCTGCAAAATAGTTTAATAAATTTTATTAAAAAATATACATGATGAAGAAAGATATCGATGCGCATATTTATAAAAATTCGTTATTGAAAGCAAGGAGAAATTTCACAAACGGAAAATAATTAGCTTGATTGTATCTGTTATATTTATCTGTAGTTATTAGCGATGCATTAATTGTAGCTTAATTCTTAACTGGTATAATTAATTAACAATAGCAGAATTTAATTTGAAAGTTAAAATTGGGAACGTGCAGTTTTGCCATATTAGAGAAAATTCAAGATTAGTTTTCATACACGAGAAGAATGACTTATTGTAAAATTCTAGATGAATTTTATCAAATCCTTTTTAATTTGTTTTGCTAAGGATTACTTGGCTATCCTTATTAGACACTCGTGAAAGTTCGGATTACGCCAGCAAAGTTTATCTTTAGTCGATATACAACTTAATCTTACTTAAAGGAAATGATATTTGCAATTCAATCATTTAATAATATACAGAAAAATGTATTCTCTCGACAAAGAATCGTTTTATTTTTCGTGAAATAACACAAATTTATTATTATTAATTTAATTAATTTTTACGGTTTTTATAGCTAAATTTATTTTAATCATTTTTTTCAGATAAACTAATAGAGAATTATCTTAATTAAAGATGGAAGACAAAATGGGCTTCAGAAGTCCCCCGAAAGTGTTATGTCGAAAGACCAGATGAGTTGACATGGCTGAGGGCAGGTGGACTTGGCTCTGGACTCTGTTCCTGTGCCTCCTCCTGCAAGGTGATACCATAGCATTCGTCTTAGAGGGGTCTCCTTCTTCTTACGCGCGGTTCAAGAAGTGGATCTCCGGTCTCAATGGTTCTCTATCCTTTGAATTTCAAACACAGGAACCTAACGGTTTGCTGTTATATACGGACGATGGCGGTGCCTTCGACTTTTTCGAGTTAAAACTGGTTGAAGGTACGTTGAGACTTCGTTTTAATCTTGGCGGTGGTGCTTCGATCATATCCGTGGGTAGAAATCTTCACGATGGACATTGGCACAGAGTGGAGATTATTCGCAACATAGAAGAAACCCAATTGAGAGTAGACGACGATACGCAGGGACGAATCTCTCGAGGACCCGAATATCATTTTGGTAATTATACGACCAACAGCTTTGTATATTTTGGTGGGATGCCTAGTTGGTATAGTTCGAAACCCAATCTACTTGCATTACCATCAGTTTTATTCGAACCGACTTTTAAAGGAAGTATAAAAAATGTTGTGTATGCGAGTGAAGAGGGACTTGCCAAAGAACAAGACATGATTGAATTTAAAGGTGTCAGATCCAACCAGTTGGATGCCTGTGAACATCACGACCCCTGCCAACATGGGGGTATTTGTATAAGCACCGACAGCGGAGCTATCTGTGATTGCAGAGCTGTAGATTACGAAGGAAGTTTCTGCGAAAGAGGTAAGTTATTTGGCTTTTAATTATAAAGCTTCAATTAAACTAAACATTCGGTTCCCGTAATTTTAAATTTGATACGTGTAAATTCATTTCATACGTGAGAAGAGATGATTACCAATTCATTAAATAATTTACTAAGAAATTTGATAATGTGTAAGATAATTTTAAAGTTTACACAATGAAAAATATTTTAAAAATTAAACGAATTAGTAAATGTATATCGATTACAGTAGTAAAGAAACCAAATCCTAAAAAAAATATTTTTAAAGTTAATTACTTTGAATTTGAATATTTAATTCATCATAAATCACGCAGCTTACGTGTCATGAAATATTAAATATTGACTTTTAACAAATAAAACTAATTGGACTTAATTCAATATTATTAAAATACTAAAGTTTTAATTAAGAAATATTACTTTTTAAAATAAAATAAAATAAATATACAAATAAAAATATTAATAGTTAATAAAACCGACTAAAATTGTAATAAATGTGACGATAAAACTATAATCTTAAATATACAAATTAAAAAAATTTTGTCATCATTTTTATGGCGACAAAACTTTAAAATTTTGAGTGCTGCTAAATGTCGGAATGATAAAAATAAAGAATTTCGATTGAAAACAGATATGCACGAGTTAGGAGAAAAGTACAAAAAAAAAGAAAAGAAAAAAAAATATACGAGGTGTTTGGAAACGAACGTTATTTTCCTTTTAGAGACAACTTTCTTGACCACTAGACAATGACGTATATGTAACTGTATCTATAACTATCGATCTCTAACGGTTTCTTACCCACAAAATCTAGCTGACAGGGATTTTCCAGACAGGTGGACATTTGTCACAAAGTCTCAGAAAAGACTACAACATCCATTGGAAATGTAAGAGTTGTCCATTATAAAGAAGACAAGGTTTAAGAAATGAATGTATCTTGCAACCTCTCTTCAGACATTTTCATAGCTACTTTCACTTTTTAGCTTATTGTTATTAATTCTATTGTCTTAGATATAGCTTAAGTTTGTTTAACAATTTAAATAATTATCTGACATTAAAACTAAGGATTTCTCTTTAATAATGTTGAATTTTTCCTTAAACAAATATTAGATAATTAACTATTTAGTTGTGGTTGATTTATTTTTTAAAACTGATAAGTTAGATGTTAAAGAGCGAGATACTTAACTGAAACTCGCATGTGCTCAATTAAGAATTTAATGAACTATTAAAGTAGTTTAAAAAACTTTATTACTAAACTTTTAATGTTGCGTGTTTACAATGTATTTTTTAAAAATTGTAGTTTTAATAAGTGAGAAATTTTTCTTGGAAATTTTCAGACTGAATTAAGATTTTGTTGAAAATTTTTCGGGCTCGGTTTCAGAAATCTGTTAAAGTTTAGATATTTTTTTCCCCTTTCCTTTCTAAGACCTAAAACTATGAATTGTTTCTTTTGTTAAATATTTACTTTTTGGTAGATTATAACAAAATTCTCAACAGTTTTTTGCTACAGCTGAATCATGAATTGTTTTCTTATATATCAAAATTCTAATTTTTTTTTCTTTTCTATGACTAACGTTAAAACTCTGAATAAATTTCTCTTTATCATTCACATAAATGGGATTATTCATAAGAATTTTTTTCATTAATTTCGTTTTTTACTTCCGGAACTTATTTTAACCATTAATCACTTTGAAACTCATTTCTAACATTAATAATCTTTATTACAATTCTCCAAATGCTTTCATTAATTTTTTTGAAATCTATCCTATTTAATCATAACACGGATAAAATTCCCTTTATAAAATTAGATTATAGATAATAATAAATAGAGTTATACTGTATATAATGAGAGGATCGCATCGAAACCTACTTCATCGTAATGAATATACTCGAATTATTGAATATGCGTTTCTGACGTGCTTCAATAACAATGAACTAGAGCCATCACGTTATTTCTAATGCTTCGATATTTCGTAAATCATCATTTTGTAGTCATTTATAACCAGTTATTTCTATTATTCGTCAACACGCCAATGATACTCCCAAAGGATAAGTACAATCTAACCGTTTCGTGATCGAGAACACCAACTCATCTACCTTTCACCTATATAAGCTTATACTTAAGTATACGACTGATTGATGTGTTTGTTTCTAGTTATTCTTCGAATGAAATTCTGCATCGATACTACGAAAAAATAATTGAATATAAAATACTCAAAACAATTTAAAATATCGAATTTTAGATACTTATTATAAAGAAAATTATTATAAAAAATGAATAGACTTTCATTTCAAGTAAACAAAAAATACATTTTTTTAACGTTTCAATATTGCGTGAAATGGAAGAATACTATAATATATTTTAATAATTTATATTTTTGTCATGTTTGTATATTAAATTCCCATTCAATGGGTAGAAAATCAGGAAAGTCCATAATTCCCAAGCTCACCTAATATCCATCGTACCTTCTTGTCCACCTGGAAGAGATTCATTTTTCAAATGTCCTGACTGGAAATGCGTTTCTGACGACATAATCTTGTTCCCACCACCAATCCTTGCTTTGGAGAGTATCAAAAATGCATTCGATGACGTCAACCAACGATCGATGCTTAACCAAGAGGTCAGTAGTAGAGGCTCTTGCCAGCACCTGGCTTGCCACTCCACCCCATATTTTGTCCTTTCTCCTACTACACCCCTATTTACTAATACTATTAAATATAAACATATTTTTTTTTGTCGAAGCTTTATTTTTAAATATTTTAAACCAAACTTTAAATGGAAAATTTCATTTTGAACAATTTTATACAAGGTCGATTACTAATGTAAAAATATTGCTCAAAGAGATTAATTTCGCCATACCTGTTGATCAGTTATATAAAAATGAAGAAGAAATTATTAAAATAAAGCAAAAACAACTGTAATTTCCGATAAACATACAAATACGCGTATTAAACATTTAATTGTTCTTAATAATCGTTGAATTTCCAAAATTTAATAGAAAATAATTTTGAGAAAAGACATAGCTTTTCATTTTCGAAATATGCTAATAAATTGAGTATAATAATCCTTCATAAATTATTATATTTGATGGAAAAATATACTCTGACAACAATAATTTGATTTCTGGATATTTGATGAAATGGAGAAATTTGCTGTTAATACATTAACCAATTGCTATAGCGTGAAACATAGAAATAGTTTTAATTTGCAGATTATCTAATAATAATTAGCAATGAAAATTTTCAAACGAAATAAATTGAATTTTCTAAACCGTTATAACGCGTAATGCCACAAATATTCCCAGGATAACAGAAAGCCGATTTTAATCTATTTTAATCACTTAAGCTAAAGACATGTAACACCCGGACTGCGGTTTTCCAGTCCAGTTAATTCCTCAACAAATCCAAAATAGCGCTAACGAACCGGTCAGGAGGCTGCATCTACTCTTATCAGTGAGCATTGAGCGAAAGAATCCCCAACATCCCACGAGATCTGGCAAAACAAAAGAATGCAAGAAAACTGAAGAATCAATAAGGACCAGGGAAAGAGATTAGTTTTAACCGTATGGTTCTATTTCAGTGTGTGTGTCTGTGTGTGTGCGTGTGTATGGGGGATGCTGGCTTCAGTCGATGTCCTTCCAAGCAGTATTTATGTCTAGATGATGTTCCGGTATACATTTAACGATCGTTACAGCAGTTAAGTCTAGCGCCGTCTCTTGTCAGCATTCCTCCAGGGAAACAGTCCCCGTAGGATGTTAGGATACGGTGTAAAGCTAAGAGGAAATCCAGTGGTTTGCATTTTAACCACTACATTTCAATTCTGGCATGTAACTTTTCTCTATTCTTTCCTTGCAAATATTTCCATGCTGTTTGATCTTATTATTCTTAGCCTATTAGAAGCTTTACTTTGAAAAAAATTAAAAACTTAAAAAAAAACCGTTCGCTTTATAATTTAAACGTGTTACTAATATAACTTTAAATTTGAATATATGAAATTTAATTCGTTTTTCTATTATTTTAATGCAATTTGAATCGAATACCTTTTATGTTTCGAAACTATCAACTTGATTACCGAGTTTCAAATATTAAATAAAACATTGAAAAGCTAAATTAATTTTAAACAATTAAAACCATATTAAATTTCTACATTAAAATTTTCTTTTCTTATGAATAATCATCATTAAAATAAAATATGAAGTTTAATTATCATTCATATAGAAATAGCACTCTGAAAGAATTTAATATTAACTCTCTTGATTATAATCTTTGAATTTTATTAAAAACATATCTGGAATCACATCTCGAAATTGCCTTTATGATATGAATTTTAAAGGGACAAGATTCTTTTTAATAGAGGTGAGATTGGTTCAATTTAGATAGAGATTGATTGCAACGAGATCAGATATGCCTGACTAGAGATTTCCTTTCTGTAGTTATTCTTTCCCTAAACATTAAAAAATAATAGCAATATTAATAATTGTCTTCTGTTGGTTTTGAGATAAATAATTAAAATCATAAAGTCAAACGAAATATTAAAACTTCAGAATACTAATTAAATAGAAGTTTTTTAAACTAGCTATAAAGAAAGAAAATCATTCAAAATAATATTCCTTGATCCGGAATGTGAATTGTTTCTTCAAGGTAAACATGTTCATTAGTGATAACTTATCGCCTTTTTTCCCTATTCTAATTTAATGTGAAGGAATGATAGTTATTTGAATAAGAAATTTGTTAAATTATCTGTTCTTAACTTAGTTATTTTTTAAAAAATCGGACAAAAGAAGAGGGAAAAAATGAATGAAAAGACTACTAAACAATACAAACTGACGTTTGAATGCTATCAAAGTTAAACTCATTAAAGTTTCTTCTGTAAATGTGCATTATTACCTTTTGTTTGAAACACTTTCTGAAATTGTCTGCTAAACATTTTCAGTATGTTGTGTAACTTGAAACCTTTTACGCTTCAATGATATAGAACAAAACTTACTGATATTTTTCACGATAACTA